GCATCTTGGGAGAAGAGCCCCGCTATTGGCTCGCGTTCATATCCCCCCTCTAACTGTTTCGAAGAAAAAGTTTTGCCGTACACGCTCTTATCAAACATACTGTACAACGAAAGAAGATTTACAGCTTGCACTAAGGTGACCCCAGAAATATTGTTTAGAGTTAGGCAAAGTTAATAAGAGAATTAATAAGTGTATAGATGTTAATGGTCAATAGTTCGAACATTTAATAAAATAAAAGAAAACAGAAAAACTATGAATCTTACTTAACCACTTGACTGGCACGCGCGCCAAAAGTCGCGCGCTTTATGCGAGAAGAAATTCGCCTTACTTCTATGCTGGAAATATGTTATTGAATTTAAAAGGTTACTAATCTTATGTTTTTGACATCAAGGAATCCGAATTTTATGTCAAAATTAAAAAATTTTTAAACCACGATGCATTATCGTCTGTTTAATACGCACGGAAAATTCTTTCTTTTATATTGATTTGAGAACTAAGATTATATACTTTTATAATATTGTTTGTTAAGTCAAATTGTAATAAACATTTCTAAAACATATAAACGTAGTTAATCTTTGCGCATTTGCTGGTAATGTGAATCACGACCGGAGTATAATCTTAGTCAAATCAATGTGAAAGAAAGAATTTTCCTTACGTATTAAAGAAACGATAGTGCATCGGGGTTTGAAAATTCTTTAATTTTGACATAAAATTCGGATTCCTCTTTAATTTTGACATAAAATTTGGATTTCTTGATATTGAAAACATAAGATTAGTAACTTTTTAAATCCAAGAATATATTTCCAGCATAGAAGTAAGACGAGTTTCTTCTCGCATAAAGCGCGCGACTTTTGGCGCGCGTGCCAGTTGTGGCACGGACATGGATGCGCCTTTTGGCGCGCGTACCAGTCAAGTGGTTAATTTATCATTCATTTCAATGCACTCTACATTAAAGTTTAAATGTTTATAACTTTTGATAGGAGCATTTTCCAAAGAAATGTTTCAGACAAAGCTTATTTGATTCTTCTCGTAGAATTCAAATATGTAACATTGTATAGGGAATCCCATTTGAAACTTTGAAGTTACCCCCCGCCTCTCTTCAAGGGGGGACGGAAGTGGATTTTTGTAGTTAGAAAGGCCCCTCAAATATATGAAACTTTCTCATGAACAACTTTTTGATAGGACAAATATGTTTAGAGTTATTAGCATGTAACACTTTACGTGGGCCGCCCTATATATAAGAACAATGATCATAAAACGGCACAACTTATACTATGGAATCTACTTTTATAATAAAGTGGTATACATTTTCATTAATGGGAATTACTATCTGTTAATCTGTAAAAGTAGTAATCCCTTCCATTTGAATATACAGAACGATGGAAATGAATATATGAAAATAGCTCCAACAGCATAAAATGCGTGAGGACATGTTGGGACACTGTTCACACGTCTAGAATGGTTCTAGGATGATTTTGGAATATCTTGTGTTATTTTGGAGCTAATTAATTTAGAATGGCAAGATACTTTTATATTATTATCTTTATTATTAGGTGTGCAACTAAGTTCCCGCTGTTTGTCAATAGATGGCTCCAGCAGTAAGTGCTGGTCGATTTTGACATATCCAAAACGTCATGAACCAAGCTTAGACATATGGTAAACATAACCGCTTTGACACGTTAGTGATTTTGTTTTGGTGTCATATACTTTTGGTTGTGAAAATATCTGATTTTGTGCCAAATAATCGTCATTTGCGGGAAGTGTTGATTTTCTTATTTCATTCGAAGAAAATAGCGGCTGAAGCGCATCGAGAGCTCCAAAAAGTTTACGGAGATGCTGCTCTAAGTGAAACAACGTGCCGTGATTGGTTTCGTCGCTTCAAAGACGGTGATTTCGATGTTGACGACCGTCCGCGTGAAGGAAGGCCAAAAACCTTCGAAGACGCTGAATTGGAGGCATTGCTCGATGAGGATCCGTGCCAAACGCAAGAACAGCTTGCTTCAGCATTAGGAGTTACCCGCCAAGCCATTTCCAAGCGATTGCATGCGTTGGGAATGATTCAAAAGCAAGGAACTTGGGTTCCTTATGATTTGAAGCCAAGGGACGTTGAGCGTCGTTTTTTCGCCTGTGAACAACTGCTCCAGCGGCAAAAAAGGAAGGGTTTTCTTCATCGCATCGTGACGGGTGATGAAAAATGGATTCATTACAGCAACCCAAAGAAAAGAAAGTCATGGGGACTGCCCGGTCATGCTTCTACGTCGTCGGCTCGGCCGAATATTCACGCTGCGAAGGTTATGCTATGTATTTGGTGGGACCAGGTCGGTGTTATGTATCATGAACT